TGAGGAGAGTATAGTATATAGAGAGGTGTATGTTTATATGTAGGATGGTGGTGTGTATGTAGAGTAGGTAGATGAGGAGAGTATAGTATGTAGAGAGGTAGTATGTTTATATGTAGGATGGTGGTGTGTATGTAGAGTAGGTAGATGAGGAGAGTATAGTATGTAGAGAGGTAGTATGTTTATATGTAGGATGGTGGTGTGTATGTAGAGTAGGTAGATGAGGAGAGTATAGTATGTAGAGAGGTAGTATGTTTATATGTAGGATGGTGGTGTGTATGTAGAGTAGGTAGATGAGGAGTAGTACTGCAGCAATAGGTAGCGTGTGTATATAGAGGTAGAGGTAGGAGGCAGAAACTAGGTGATAAGGAAGCTCAGAAAAGAATTGCCAGCATCCATCGCGACATCATCCGTCGCTTGCGTCTCACCCCGCCTCCTCCCTGTAGCATCCCTCATCGTCGCCGCTGCGACCGCCCAGCATCCCTCATCGTCGCTGCTGCGACCGCCCAGCATCCCTCATCACCGCCGCGGCGACCGCGCAGCATCCCTCATCACCGCTGCGGCGACCGTGCAGCATCCCTCATCACCGCTGCGGCGACCGCGCAGCATCTCTCATCGTCGCCGCGGCGACCGCCCAGCATCCCTCATCGTCGCCGCAGCGACCGCGCAGCATCCCTCATCATCGCCGCAGCGACCGCGCAGCATCCCTCATCGTCGCCGCAGCGACCGCGCAGCATCCCTCATCACCGCCGCGGCGACCGCGCAGCATCCCTCATCATCGCTGCGGCGACCGCGCAGCATCTCTCATCGTCGCCGTGGCAACTGCGCAGCATCCCTCATCGTCGCCGCAGCGACTGCGCAGCATCCCTCATCATCGCCGCGGCGACCGCGCAGCAGCTCTCATCATCGCCGTGGCGACCCCGCAGCATCTCTCATCATCGCCGTGGCGACCGCGCGACATCCCTCATCGTCGCCGCGGCGACCGCGCAGCATCCCTCATTGTCGCCGTGGCGACCGCACAGCATCTCTCATCATCGCCGTGGCGACCGTGCAGCATCCCTCATCGTCGCCGCGGCGACCGCGCAGCATTCCTCATCGTTGCCGCGGCGACCGCGCAGCATCTCTTATTGTTGCCGCGGGGACCGCGCAGCATCCCTCGTCGTCGCCGTGGCGACCGCCCAGCATCCCTCAACGTCGGCGCAGCGACCGCTCGCAGCATCTCTCATCGTCGCCGTGGCAACTGCGCAGCATCCCTCATCGTCGCCGCAGCGACCGCCCAGCATCCCTCATCGTCGCCGCGGCGACCGCCCAGCATCCCTCATCGTCGCCGCAGCGACCGCGCAGCATCCCTCATCGTCGCCGCAGCGACCGCGCAGCATCTCTCATCGTTGCCGCGGCAACCGCGCAGAATCCCTCATTGTCACCGCTGCGACCGCCCAGCATCCCTCATCGTCGCCGCGGCGACTGCTCGCAGCATCTCTCATCGCCGTCGTTTCTTCCCACAGGATGCGTCCGGGAGCGGACGAGGAGGGTCGCGTCGCCGAGCTGAGACACAACGTCGCTCGCGTCGAGACGCAGCTGCAGGAGATCCGGGAGACGCTGCCTCGCAAGAATGGGTGAGTGCCGCCGCCCTGCCGCATGCACGCCAGGGGGCGCCTCCGCCTCCCCCGGCGCTGTCGTCGCGGTCAGTGTTGTCGCGGGCGTCCAGCTAGGAGTTCTGCTTCTGGTTCCCGAACCTACGGCGTAGTTCTGTGCCTTCATAGGTGTCGTTCTCTTACTGACGGCGCCCCCTGGTGTGGCAGCATGGTTCCTGGTACTTAAACTGACAGTGCCCCCTGGTGGAGCAGTATTGTTCCTGGTACTTGAAGTAACAGTGCCCCCTGGGGGGCAGTATGGCTTCTGGTACTTAAAGTGACAGCGCCGTCTGGTGGGTTCATGTGCTACTCTATCCCCTTCTAGTTGCTATTCGTGAACCGGCACTGCCCCCTGGTGGTAGCCAGCAGTGGGGGTTCGGAGGTCGTTGAAGTGTTGGTTCTTTCTTGCCACGTCCCATGCTAGTTCCCTCTGCAATCTGTTTTGCAGCACGATAGTGTGAGGCTGTTGGGATCAGGCTCACCATGATGCGCCGTCATGTAATATAATGTAACGTGGGCATGATGTACGAGCGTTCGTGCGCCGCGCGCCCCGTTCCGTGCTCACGTAATCAGTCGTGGATGTTTTCGTTTCTCGAATAGGACCTACCTGCAGATCATCGTCGGAAACGTCAACGTGTCCATTCTCAACAAGGCGGACAGGTAAGTTGACGTCATCTCGCACACCTGTAGTAGCTCGTTAACGTGGTAACGATAGGTAAGCTGATTACATTCCGCACACATGTGGCCCGTTGTTATCGTACAGCAGGTAAATTCAAC